CTAGAATGTGAAAAATAGGATGGTATTGGGTAAAATTTTTCAGGTTATAGTTGGTGAACATTTTTATAAGTAACATACTTCTGATTAATTAAGTTGCTATGCAACATGAATGTCTGAAGGATCTTCTGATAGACATGCCAACTATCCAGTTTTATTATTTCAGGAAAATGTGCATTATGAAGAAATAAGGCTGATGATCTATTTTATCACCAATATTGTAATGTCCATCACATGAACATAGGCCAAGAGTCTTTAATAACTCATGGTTCTAGCAATCAATTTTCTGGACCTCTCTCTCAAGTTTTAAGTTCATTGTCAAGATCTTTTTGCATACTTAAAAAAATCATCACAGGTTTATCTTTTTTGTGAAAAAAGAAAGTTCAGGATTGAAAAACATATCAGTTAAATAAGCCATTGACTTGAACAAAGAATTTATCCATCCTACCCAGATTTTTCTCTTTGTTGTGATTTATTTTTTTCTTTTTTTTTAGCAATTTATTTATTTATTTAAGTTGTTGATAGACCTTTATTTTATTTTATTTATTTATTTTTACCATATGATTTATTTATATTTTTTTAGTCATACATGACAGCAGAATGTATTTTGACATATAATACCTACATGGAATGTACAAACATCAATCATAATGTCTATTCTATTCTGCTGCCCTTCCTATCCCCCCTATTTGTGATTTATTTTTTCTTAATGAAGAAAAGTAAAATTTAGACTTGAGTTTAAGAGTTCACAAAAGCATATATCCTGAGCTTGGTAGAGCAAGGTGTCAAATTCAACTAGTTTTATGTCATATTTTTTCTAAAAAGATGAGTATTCAAGTCCAGATTTTTTTATTAATTATTATTCTTATCATTTTATTTTCCCTTTACTGAGTTCATGAGAAAGATCAATGGCAACTTCCTTTTGAGTATCTGCTCTTGAGTGACAGTGCACCTTCTGCTGAGGAATTCTGGGTCATGACAGCTTTCCTATGGGCTTCTGATCCTGAAGTTTGCCATAGATTAGCCGGGAGTGTGCAGAAGTCCTCAAGTATATCTTGCAAGAATATTAATATGCACCTTATGACTGTGTCAATAAGGGGTTCTTTTTCAGCTTGGCTGCTTCTTTCTAACCCAAAACTGAGTAAGCCATATCTAAATTGCAGGCCTTCATTCCACTAATACATGAGCTTCATCTTCTCAGCAATTCTGCAAACTGACCTTGAGGAAGCATCGAGCAAATTTCATTGGCTTGTTTGAGTGTGCTTTTTATTATTGTCTTTACGCAAGATCTCTCTCCTTTTTTTGCAAGACATTCTGATGATTTCCTTTCAAAATTTGCATGATTGGTTTTTAAATATCCATCAAGACCAATGCAGTCACTGTTTGGGGGTTGGGTGCAGGTTAGATACCAAGGTTTAGGCTCATTCGCGTTTCTATAATAGTGAAAATCATGTTCTAGATAAACACCTAAGCACAGACTAAAGCATTTAGTCAGAATGGCCTGGCTGTGATGGGGCAGATGTCACCTGGATGAGAGGGTAAAAAAGGAGTCTCAGAAGCTTTGCTGTATGTCACACCACCCAACCATGTCAGGCGACTCTATATTTCTCTTCGTTGTCTTTTAAAAATGCAATGATTTCACACTTAAAGAAAAAAGATAATTCCCATTTTATTTATGTCGATATGTTCCTGGATGAATATATCATTTAAAAAGAGCGTATCATGGAGGCTGGATGCCCAGAAAGTAATGTGCTGGTACCCAAAGGAGGCATAGAAGCTACTTCCTTGACAGTGGCCTGATAACAATGGTTGTATTTGTATTTTTGATTTCCTTGTTCTTATGAAATTTAAATAATTCTTTATTAGTAAATAAACACAGAAGAATGTGGACAACCCAAATAGCCAAAATCATGAAAAAAGAACTCGTAACTCATCCAAATAGATGCAAACTCAAATTTAACTTGGAAATCAATCTAAGAACTACATTACATTTGGGGGGGGCACCCAATATAAGAATGTTTTCATCTAGTTTCAAACCAGCCATGCTGGGTCTTGTTCAGAGATGCCTTGGGCATTCAACCACAGTAAGAAGTTGATTTCAAGAAAAGATGGCAGAAAGAAAGAAAGGAAAAAGGAAAGCAAATAAGAGGATGAAGCTGAGCCCAAAGTAATATTTTATCAGAATTGCTGAAATTATTGACTGTTTAGACTCTACAGAGTCAGAGTTGGAGGCAAATCGTTCAGTTCCTTGCTTGCAACAGGCAGGTCCTTTGTATTATCTCAGAGATCATGAGAACCATGGGCAGAGAAGAAGGCTCAACAAGCTTCAGTGGGATGGCTTGCCTATCCCACACCAATTTGCCATTAGTTACACGTTGCCACCTCTTCAGCTAGTCTTGCTTTGCACTGTTAATTTTTATGTGATTAAAAAAATAATAGACATCTGGGGCCGGGGTTGTGGCTTAGTGGTAGAGCGCTTACCTCACATGTGTGAGGTTCGATCTGGGTTCCATCCTCAGCACCACATAAAAATAAATAAAGGTACTGTGTTCATCTACAACTAAAAAAAATTTAAAAAAATAGGTATCTAAGAAATTATACTATTTTGCCATGGAATGCAGTGTGGTGCATTGAAATAATTTAGGATTTATAATCAATCAGGTTTGAATTCAAATCTTGCTCCCTGTTGATAGAGCATCTTCAGCAAGTTATTGAATTTTCTGAATTTCTTTTGACATATGAAAAATGTAGGTAATACCATTTGATGTTGGTTGGAATGAGGATCAAATGAGAAGATATATGTCATGAACTTGGTATATTACAAGGCCATACCTATTCAAGAACTCCCTTCTCTAAACGATACAAGCCATCTTTAGAAAGAGACTTCAGAACTTTATAATAATTGCCCCATTCAGATCAGGCCCCTCTCAATGTTCACCTCCTCTCAGCTCCAAGGAAACTAACTACCCATAGGCTGTTCCTTGCCCAAAAGCTGTTATGATTTTGTCATGGAACTCTGCAGCCCTGGACACAACTATCAGTTGGATCAAAATGCAGAGTTTTCTAGCTTGGACCTGTGAGGTGAACTGAGACTCTGCCCACCAGGCACATCAGAGACCACTTAGTGACTAAGACCCAACAACACCTCTGTGGAGGTTGAAGGAGATAGGTGATCAGCTGAGGGCAGAAGTAGGGACGGGGACAAACAACAAACAGCAGCAGAGCAGGTGCCCTGAAGGTAAGGTCCCCCTAGCATGGAGGCACCATCTTGCTTTATTAATATTAACTTATCCCTAGGATGGTGGTAAAGGAATCACCCCTTCCACAATAGCTCAGCTCCATGTCATGGTAAAGAAAGGTAAAGCCTTAATGAGTTAACATCTATTTAACATTTCTGTATCAAATACAGCCACCTCTTTCAAATAGCTTGCTGAAGTTCGCTAATTTTCACTACAAGTTCTCCTTCACTGGATATTCACAAGACTCTGGGAGATCTTGTGGATGTGACAACAGGGGAAACCAGTCCCAACATGAGTTGGTTTTGAATCCAATGCCACGAAAGTCTCTCCACTGCTAACAAAAAGTGGTGGGATTTCAGACTATTAGGAATAGGGTCTCATAAATTTAAAAATTTTAATGCATGAAGGTACAATGATCTCTTAGGGATGTATAGAGGTGAAACCTTTCCTCTTCTGCCTCTGTATTTTAACTTCAAAGTCTGTGATCTTATCTCCCACAAAAATACATAGAAGGTGTTCAGTCTTTGAATGGTCGAGATTGTAGAAAAAATGAAGAAATGGATTCACTTTTGTGATAGAAGACATCTTTTCTTAAGTATCTGCCTTGCGTAGTTATGTGTTGTGCATGAATTATTTCTTTTAAATCCCACCACTTCTCCCAAGAGGCCCTACTTTGCCTCTGGTTTTGTAATGTAGAAAAATTTTGGAATCTTGGGAATAAATCTTAGGCCCAAGTACTCCATCTCCAACACTACAATTAGCTTTTTTATGTTATGTTTTCTCTTTCTGGTGATCTAGTCTTAAACTAAAGCAGCAAAGCTCAGGGTGTTGGTCTCTAGGATCTTGGAGCAGAGGCTGTGCCTCTCTTGGGTAAAGGTATCTCTGCCTCTTCCTCAGTGTGTTTGTCTGATTTTGCCACCAGCAGTTTCCAAAGAGAGCTCTCCTCCTCAGCCAGGGGGCTGACTCAGGGGCCTAGTGTTTTCCTCCAAGTCCCCACAATGAGGCTTATAGAGCATTATTAAAATCCACACATTCCTTCCATTTGTTTCTAGTCAGTTCCACAAACCGGGACGTTTGCTTAATGTGGAAGACCAGTGGGCACAGTGGGTAAATGTCACCTTCCTACTGAGACTTCCTACTGGCTTCTTTTGAGTGCACACAGAACTTGACAGGTTCCCCAATGTTTTCATGGCTGTGTGACCCATGACCCTTGTGGCCAGCTGTATGCCAAGCAGGCTGAAGTGCCAGGGATCTCTAAGGATGCCTGTGCTCTGTGGGAGATAGGTAGGCGTGTGGCCTGGCTCAGAGCTCACTGAGTCACCTTGCTGCCTACTCCATCCTGCCCCTTAAAGCACAGTGACCCTGAGTCCTGCAGACCTACTTCTGGCTCTGGGATATGGCTGCCACCTTCCTTCTCCATGCGGGTGCTGGGGCCTCTTAGGCAGGCAGGTCATTAGTGGGGTCTAGGTTTACTGGCTCCTTTATACACTACAGTGAAAATGTCACACTGACCTGAGATATGCTGGGTCCCATTATGAATTTGGCTAAAATGCTGCCTATTTCTATATTCAGAGAGCCATACTATTTTGCCTCCTTTTCTTTTTTAAGTCTTTAGATCATTGAAATTTTGCTTATTATCTTCAATAGTTACTCATCAAAATTAATACAGTTGGCTCCCACTTGGCAGTGGTACCGTTGGGGGCTGTCTGCAGCTGGCCCATTGATAGGGAAGAGACTGTGGATCCCCCGATGGTGTTCACTTACCACTGAGAAGAGGCCGGTTGTGTCGGTATGACGTGGGCAGCTGCCCAATGTCCTCCATCCTGTGGCTCATGACCCGAGAGAGGTGGCCTGTGTGATGCAGGCTTCCCACGATGATGCTGTGGAGGTACACAGGCTCGATGAAGTGACAGAGGAGAGCTCCTTGTAGTCCCAGGACGTTCCACCTGGAATGAAAAGCAAGGGTGGAGCTGGTGGGATTCTCTCACCTGCCGGAGGGCACAGGGACAGCTGCCCTCAGCCCACCCAGGGCACTGAGGGAACAGCCTATTGTACAGTGTGGGCTTCTTTCTGCCCTTCAGCAAACTGGTCCTCGAGGTGTCACTCTTCCCATCATACAGATGCTGGAAGGGCCTGCCTGGGAGCTGCCCAGACACGGTAGAGCCATCAGGCTGGCCTTGGCCTGTGGCCAGTAATGATTCTAAGCGGCTTCAACGCAGTGGGACTGAGCTAGCAGCGCCTCTGCATGTTAATAAACTCAGCTTCCTTCTCTAGAAAATGAGCCGTTAGACATAGAAGAAGCTATATGTTCTCTTGGGGACTTAAAATTAGATTCTTTAAAAAAGACACTCTGTCCCCAAAGTGAATCTGAATTTTTCTTTATATTAGCTGGGAAATATCAGAAATTCAATTCGTTTATTTCAGTTTAGGGAAAAATACTGTCTTCCCCTCCCTTTGTCCTTAGCAGTCAGAATGACCTACTGTGTTGAAATTAAATGACATTAATCAATGACCTTGTTTTGGTCTAGGGATGATTGTGATTTTAGAAGTCCAGATCAGAGAGAAAAAGACAAGGCCATTTTCTTTGAAATAAATATAGCTCCATGCAAACGGAGCTTCTTCAAGCAAGGATGCCAGGAACACCGGAAGGATTTTCCCCCTTGAATTCTGGTGGAAAGAGTTTTCTCGTATCTATTATTGGAGGCAACAATTTTGTGGTTTTCACTCTAAATAATGTGTTTAAAATCCAACCTCCATCGGTGGCAAGCATTATGCAGCTAATTTCTTACATCATTGTTCTCTTCATTAATTAACATTTCTCCACTGTTCCAGCAATTATTGTGGGGCCTCCATGCCGTACATCTCTTTTCATGATTAATAAGGAGTCATTATATTTCCCTTCCCGAAGCAGTCAATTAACACAGAATTCTTTCCATTAATTACCGAATGTCTCTCTACCTGGAGAGCAATCTGCTCTGAGAACCTGTGACACCAATTGCTTTAAAAAGTTCTCTTTAAATTTTATTCCAAAAACACAAGCAATTTAGCTGGCGATATTAATTTGCCTCAGAAGCATCGCGGTGAATGAGAAACATCTTTTAATCTCATGCAAGAAAAGGCAGCCATCTGGCTGGCGAGAATTTCAGGGAGCAACTCTTACACTCTCCCTCTGTAAATGCAGGTCATTAAAGTAATGTGTTCATCTACATAAAACTCCAATGGAATATAAAAGGTAATATTTATATACAAACAATTTAGTCCTACAATTTAAACAGTCATTGGTTTTATGAAACATTTACTTTAGTCTATCAGATTTGCATAACTTCATTTAAAAATATTGTGGTCATTTTTATAAGTCACATCATTCTCTCAGAAAGTAAGGGAAGGGCTGTCCTTGGACATGCAGGCTCCGATCAAAGAGCGAATGTCAAAAGGTTTCAAGGGAAAGGACATTTCGGAAAGAAGCACAGGTACTTATTACTGATGTTTAGGGACCCCTCCATTTGGCAATAATGTTCATGCCTCCACCTGTATTTCTACCACTATGCTCTGACATGCCAAATGTGGTTCTTCTATCTTTTCCTTGCTTTTCCCTGACGATATACAGAATGTCTGCAAAATCCAGGAGAGGTTTGTGATGCCTGAGCTTTTCCTTGAAAGAATAACACTAATGGTTTTGAGTATTGACCTAGGGCTGTGGCTCATTCTCTTAAATCTGAGATGAGAAGAAAGACCAAAAACCGAGGAGAAATACAGCAAAGTCGCTGTCTTTTAATACCTCTTTTTCAGATTTGAAGATGGTGGAAAGTGTGCCAGTAGAGGTTACTGTTAGAACAAAGGATGCTGCAAAGGAAAGTGTGCCAATAAGAGGTCACCGTTATAGCAAAGGATGCTGGGAAAGTATGCCAAGGAAAGGTTACCATCAGAGCAAGACTCCAGGTTACAGACATTCTAAATGGGGCCTATTAATTCTCAGACTGTGAGTGCAATTTAAAAATTTCTCCCCAATTAAAAGCAGGGAAATGTACAATTCTCCATTGATAACAAAGCACTCCTTAGAACAGCAAAGTATTAAAAATAAAATTAGCATCCCCAGAAGAGACATCATAGTATTTGAGACTGTTGAAGAATTTGGTTTTTTAACTAAACTTCTGGAACAAAATCTGAGTGGTTCTGATTCTATAGAATCGTCTAAAGACAAACAACTTCTATAACTGGTTTCCTCCTAATAACCTCTATAATAAAGAGAAAAACCAGCCTTCTTCTTGTCTGTGTATAGGAATTCAAACTTATTCAACTAACACAATCAATAAAACCAAATGTCTTTCTGAATATAAACTGGAGAATTCTCAGCATTCAGGATTGAATGGAAAAATACCTCTCCTTTTGTTCAAATAGCTGATATTACCACAATGTTGACAGAGAAAAAAATCCCATGTCTAGTTTTCAATATAGATAATCCCTAAATAAATATATTTTTCTCTGTTTGTCAATCATAGAAATACCACAGATAAGTGGGGAGAGATCTGGGAAAAACAGCCTCTCTTTAGCCAAGAGATGCAATCTCCTTGCAGAGTTCAAACCATGGCCTCCCCATATCAATGGGAACATGACAAGATTCCTTATAGGATAGGCCCCATGGGAGACCGTCCCTACACGGGTGGCCTTGGAGATAGGCAGAGAATAGCAGTTTGTCTCCTGTCTACAGTTTTCACTGCCTCTCTGTGGCCCCAAGGAAAGAAGCTGCTCTCCAAAACTGCAGTGAAGTGGGTGGTAACATTTTCAGGTACCAACACAAACACACACTTCCTACGCTCTCTTCATCTATGGATGGATCTACCCAGTGGAGAAAGCTCCCTATGTCTGCTGGAAGGCTGTGGAGTCCAGGAGGGGGTGCTGAGGACCTAGTGTTCACAGTCTTCAGGGACGTGCAGGGCCCTGCAGTTGAGCTGAACCCCAGATCATCCGGAGGCCTTGACAATTCCTGGGGGGTCTGCATCCCCATGAACATTCTGGCATAACTGGTTGGGGTCAGCCTGGGCATCTGCCCTTCCAGGGCTCCCTCCATGATTCTTATGTGAGCCAGGGTAGAGGACTTCTGAGCAGAGTAATTTATGTAAATTTTTGGAGTCCAAAGAGGTCAAATCCGAGTCCATAGTCTGTCCAGCCAGGCCATTCTGGAACACCTCCTGCTGCCTTGAGCAATAGCCAATTCAGCATGAGCCAGCTGCATGCCTTACCTGGGAACTCGACAGGAATGCATGTTTCCCAGACCCACCCCAAACCTTCACTGGCTCCCCTGAAGTGGCCTGCTCAGGCACAGGTGCCACCTGCCCTCCTGGCCTCTCATGTGCGTCCTCTCTTGTGTGGCTGCCTCCTTTTCCTAAAGGCATCCTGCTCGGAGAAGCCCCTGCTCGGAGTACGTAGAATTGGTAACCATGCTGTGTGTAAGCCATCTTTGGGGAATGTCCTGGATGGAGAGGCCACTCTCTTGTCGTCTTTGAGTGTTATCTCTTGTTCACTAGGCTGCTAGTTTTGTTTTGCAGAGCTGGGCTTCCAAGTTCCTTTTGTCTGCACTTGTCTGGACAGAGTCCCTGGGGTTGGGCTGCTGGCTGTGTCTCAGGTGGGAAATCATCAGCCACTCTGTCCACTTTATGAGGTTGCTGCAGCAGGGACAGGTGGCAGCTGCATCAGAGTTCTTGATGTGTTGCTATTGCTCTCATATATTTCATAAGTTTGATTGAATCAATCACTCCTTTCATCATTAGAGATTGTACGAAGTTTCATTTCAGAGCTGTCATAAAAATCATCAAGCAATCTATGTGAAAGGGGTAAAAAGACTTTTAAGCCAAACTGAATATTTGGGTTGGGTGTTTATAAGTGCAATCATTGCAAAGGGACCTATATTTTGAGATGAGGAAAATGAACAATGCTCTTATTTAACTTTGGTAAACTCGATAAGTACCTGCTGATAAATCAAGAAGGAAGGATGTCAGAATATTTTCCCCAGGTGGGCAAGGGGCAGGGAGAAGGAGGGAGAAATGGGCTTGAGAGGATACTGAGCAGCAGATCTTTATGCTCGGAAGGGGAGTTTTCTCTTCACAGCTGGAATTTAAGTCTAGAGATCAGTGCCTCATTCTCCAGAGAGCAGCTATCATTTTTTACAGTTCATTTTTATGGAGAAAGTTTTAATCTGTTCATTTAAAGACACGTTGTGATCAATAATCAAGCTCAGGCACTTAAAATTAGAAACCATATCTAAAGGAGCATTAGTTCCAGAAGATTTAGATTTTTATATGCCACTCAACTTTTGCTTCTTAGAGACAAAGGCAGAAAACACCTCTCTGGTTTTCCTCACTCTTTAAGGATGCTGTGTGTCGAGAATGTAATAAACTGAATTCTTAGAGCCGGACAAACAGGCTGCCATCTGCAGAATGTGGGATGTGACAACCATGCTTGTTTTCATCTGTCCCTTGCTCCATGCAGGGACAGGGTTTGTTGGCCATGTGCTACTCAACCTTAATCTATGGTTTTAAAGGTCAGTTTTCACTGATGAGGTGAAACGATCACTTTCTATAGTTTCATTCAGTTTTCGAGGGTGATATTATTGGTGGGGTTTTAGGAGTAGATTTTACTGTGATTCATTTTCTGGTTCCATGACTTCCCAGAGAGATAAGCTAAATGAGTAGTTCCTCTTACCTTGCTGTATTCGTTTCCTAAGACTTGTAGCACATAACCCAAAACAGAGTGACTTGAAACAATGGGACTGCATCTCTCACGGTTCTGGAGGTCCAAATCCTGAAGTCGAGGTGTCAGCAGGGACTTGCTTCCTCTGGAGACTCGGCCAGATGGGGGGACCCTCCTTCACCTTTTTCAGCTGTGGGCGGCTGCGGTGATCCATGGCGTTCCTTGGCTTGTGTGCTGGTGATCTCTGCCTCTGCTCTCA